TCCCCATTTTTCCCGTTTTTCAGCCCATTTTTTGAGCTTTTTTTCCCATTTTTTTCGCATTTTTGGTATTCTCCCTCCCCCATTTTATGTTTTTTCCCGTTTTTGCCGTTTTTCAGCCCGTTTTTTCGCCCCTCACTCGCAGATGAAGGTCCCGGGGGGAATCGCCTGCAGCGCCCGAACGCCCCAGCCCATCTTGGCCGTGCGGTAAAGCTGGAGCCGGACCCTGGAAATGGGGCAAAAACACCGGATTTTGGGAAAAAAACGGGAAAAAACGGAATTTGGGGGGGAAAAATGGGAATTTTGGGGGAAAAATTGGAATTTTGGGGGGAAAAAATGGGAATTTGGGGGGGGAAAATTGGAATTTTGGGGGGGAAAATGGGAATTTTGGGGTTGGAAATGGGGAAAAAATGAGAATTTTGGGGAAAAACTGTGGGAAAAATGGGAATTTTGGGGTAAAAGAGGGAAATTTCGGGGTTGAAAATGGGAACTTTGGGGTTGGAAATGGGGAAAAAATGAGAATTTTGGGGGAAAACTGTGGGAAAAATGGGAATTTTGGGAGGGGAAAATGGGAATTTTGGGGTAAAAGAGGGAAATTTCGGGGTTGAAAATGGGAACTTTGGGGTTGGAAATGGGGAAAAAATGAGAATTTTGGGAAAAAACATGGGAAAACGGGAATTTGGGGGGGGAAATGGGAGGAAAATGGAGAAAAATGGGAATTTTGGGGGAAAAAAGGGAAATTTTGGGGTTGGAAATGGGGAGAAAATGAGAATTTTGGGGAAAAAACCGTGGGAAAAACGGGAATTTGGGAGAGGGAAAATGGGGGAAAGGGGAAAAAAATTGGGATTTTTGGGGTGGGAAATGAGGAAAAATTGGGAATTTTTGGGGTTGGAAAGGGGAAAAATGGGAATTTTGGGGCAGTTTGGGGCTTTTTGGGGTGGGGATTTTGGGGTTTTGGGGGTTTTGGGTGGGGATTTTGGGATTTTGGGGTTTTGGGTGGGGATTCTGGATTTTTGGGGTTTTTTGGGGTGGGGATTTTTGATTTTTGGGGTTTTTTGGGGTGGGGATTTTGGGATTTTGGGGTTTTTTTGGGTGGGGATTTTGGGATTTTGGGGTTTTTTGGGGTGGAGAGTTTGGATTTTGGGGTTTTTGGGGTCTCACTTGATGCCGCTCTGCACCACGCGGTTCTTGCAGCTCCTCCAGCAGGTGCAGGCCTGGTTACACTCGAAAATCAGGGGGGGCTCGATTTTATTGAACTCCTGCAGCAGCCGCCCGTCCTGGGAGGGGGAAAAACGGGCCCTGAAACACCCCAAAATCACCCCAAAAACGGACTGGAAATACCCAAAAATCAGCCCAAAAAACAGCCTGGAAATAACCTAAAAACAGCCCCAAAATCACCCCAAAAACAGACTGGAAATGGCCTAAAATCACCCCAAAATCACCCCAAAAACGGACTGGAAATACCCAAAAAAACAGCCCAAAAATCACCCCAAAAACGGACTGGGAATTAACTAGAAACAACCCAAAAGCAGACTAAAAATGACCTAAAATCACCCCAGAATCACCCCAAAAATGGACTGGAAATACCCCAAAATCAACCCAAAAAACACCCCAAAAACAGACCAGAAATAACCTAAAATCACCCCAAAAACAGACTGGAAATGGCCTAAAAACACCCCAAAATCAGCCCAAAAACTGACTGGAAATGACCTAAAATTAACCCAAAAAACAGCCCCAAAATATGCCTGGAAATGACCTAAAAATACCCAAAAATCAGCCCAAAAATAACCTAAAAATACCCAAAAATCAACCCAAAAAAATTGTCTGGAAATGACCTAAAAATCCCCCAAAATTACCCCAAAATCACCCAAAATTTGGTGGTTTTGGGGTCATTTTTGGGGTATTTTTGGGTTTTTTTGGGGGTATTTTGGGGCTGTTTTGGGGTTATTTTTGGGATATTTTAAAGGTTATTTTTGGGGTATTTTGGGGCTGTTTTGGGGTTATTTTTGGGATATTTTAAAGGTTATTTTTGGGGTATTTTGGGGCTGTTTTGGGGTTATTTTTGGGCTGTTTTGGGGTGATTTTTGGGGTGTTTTGGGGTGATTTTTGGGATATTTTGAAGGTTATTTTTGGGGTATTTTGGGGCTGTTTTGGGGTTGTTTTTGGGCTGTTTTGGGGTGATTTTTGGGCTGTTTTGGGGTGATTTTGGGGGTGTTTTGGGGTGTTTTTGGGGGTCTCTCACCTTGTCGTACCAGCAGCGGATGCTCAGCTGCCCGCACAGGCAGTTGGAGGAGGAACAATCGTCCTGGCAGGTGCAGTGCTGAAAAACCCCAAAATCACCCCAAAATC